TAGCACACATAGGAAACTAAGGCACAGGGTTTGCAGAAAAAACATTAACATGCATGTTATTAGTATATAATTGTCATGGTATATCATAGTGAAACTGTAGAACACCAAAACAAAGAGAAAATCTTAAGAGCTACTAGGACAAAAGATAGATTATCTTCTAAGGAGCAACAATTTCACTGACACCTGACTTTTCAAAAGCAAATATGAAAGCCAAATGACAGGGGAATACTATCTTCATTCTGCTGAAAGAAAAATAATTATCTACTAAATGAATACAACCTGAAGGTATAACTTTCAAACTACAATAAGGAGTGGGGAGGAAAGGGATACAGGAGTGGGGAGGAAAGGGATACGGGAGGAGGGAAAAAGAAAAACCACACTAAACAATGCAAAAAATAAAAAAAGCAAGAGAAAAAGGAAACTTAAGAGAAAGTAGAAAAAGAAAAGGCATAGTAAGATGATAGAAGCAAAGTGTAATGCATCGATAATCACAATAAAAATAGATTAACAAACTCTCAAGTTAAAAGACAAAGATTGTCAGGATTAAAAACAAACAACATCTGCTAGATCGTGGTTTCAAGGATACCTAAAACATAAAAACAAACAAACAAAAAGAACTTCATTTTCCACTAAATTTAAATACAATGTTTCCAAATTATGATGGAACATATATGAAAGTTTTTATATAGTGGTCTTACTATGATATTTCTTCTAGAAATACATACACTAATTAAACAGATTTTAGCCTACTCAACTTTTTAATGTTTCCTAGCTCATGAATCTTCTTCAGCAAAGAATCAACTCCTTAAGGATAGGGAACATCTTTTATTCCTCTTTGCATACCACCTAACAACTCCTAATACACTAGTTGCACCCTGTGAACAGTCAATAAATACATAATATTTAATCCAGCCTATCTGTAATAAGTCAGATATTGGATAGTAAACAAATATTGTGTCTAGTTCCTTCATCAACATTCCAAACATTAACCCATTCAATCTCCCATTAAAAAAGAGAACTAGAAATGGAATAAATCATCTCAACAATTAGAACAAAGTATTTTGGAAAGTCTACCTGTTAAATGATCTTATCCATATTTTCAGTGAAGCAAAACAAATACAAAAGTATTTAAACTACTTGGGGGTGGGGCGGGGGAAGAGGGAAAGAGAGCTGTTAACAACATTATAAAATGTTGAAATTGTTAAGGGTACATGAGGATCATTATACTCTTGACTTTCATATGTTGGAAAATTTATATAACAGAAAGTGCTTTCAAAAAACGCAAAACCATACTTACGAAGTGTCATGTATTTTTCACTCATCCTGAAAAGCATTTTAGAACAATTTTTTGTTTGAAGAAAGTCAAGGCTTTTCTTAGGACCAATTACCACATTCAGCCCAATAATTAGCATCATTGTCCCTGTTAAAAGAGAAACAAAGAATATATTATATTTTCATTCCCAAATTCTTCCAATGGTATATTCTAAGAGCTGAAATGCCATTTAAATGAACAAAGCCTGAAAATTCACTTACTGAGTTAATTTAGCTCAGTACCTTATTCAGTAAATTACTCTAATTTTAATAATTAGGGCAATTATAAGAAATCAGCTAGAATTCTAGGAATCATACTCCAATTGAGGGGACTACAGCCTTTTCCTGATAAGGGATTTGTTTTAATTTCCTGAGTGTTTCCTAGTTGTTAGATTGTTGACAGCATAGGTCATTGGCCATGACTGGGTGAGGGAGGACAAGACACAAGAGAAAGGCCATTCTGAACTGGTTTAGGGACCTCAGTCATTTCCACTCTCAAGTTAAAAGACAAAGATTGTCAGGATGAAAACACAAACAAACAAAATCTGCTAGATCCTAATTTCAAGGGACATACCTTAGACATAAAAACACACAAAAAAAGAATCTCATTTTCCACTAATTTTAAATATAATGTTTCCAAATTATGATGGAACATATAAGAAAGTTTTATGTAATGATATTACTGCTTTGGGCACCAAGTTGAGGGGCATGATAGAGGATGTGTAGATTCTACACACAATAGCATCTGTGCAATAATTGTGACCTTGGATACAGGAATTGTGGGCACAGGGGCATGCAGAAAATGAATGCCAGAACTCACCATGCCAATAAGGCTGGTCAATAAAGTGGAGCTAAATTAAGATGCTTTACAATGTAGCTTACTTGTAAAGTTTACATACTTTGAAAGCTATACATAATAAGAATGAGAACAGAGGTGTGACTGAACAATAAGTAAATGAGGAAATACCACGTAACAGTTGAACCTAGCTAAAAAAGTTAGGAGACTTTCCAGAAAAGAACAGGAGAAGCCTAAAAAATAAATTTACAACTAATGTCTATTACAATATAGAATCCTTGCATTTCAGTTGTATTAAAAGCTACTCTGAACATGAGCAGTATGCCCTGTTTTTTTTTTTTTTTTTAATTGTGATTTGGGTGAATATTTACAGAGCAAATTCACTTTCCATACAGCAGTTCACATATACTTTGTCGCATGCCATTGACCACAGTTTACCACAATGCAACAGCTCCCCTCCCACTTCCTCCCCATAGTTACCTCTTCCCAGTGTCCATCTGTCCATACTCTCCTGCCCCCTGAACTGTCTCCCTGTGCATAAGCAGCCCTTCCTTCTCCCATGATTGTTCTCTCCTTCCTGGTTTTCTTGATAGTCTTATCAGTACAATGTTGATGCTTACTAAAAAAGTCTCAGGCTCTAAGAAATTACTTTCAGTATATCCATGCACAGTGGAAGGAACTCAAGAAGCTCATCGTTCACAACATCCTGAAGAAGAAAACTTATGCACAGAATGGAATACTCATGGGCTCTTATTTTCATTCGTTTTCTCCGCATGGCTGACCCCTAAGCAAGGTGGAGTTAGGAAAAAGCAGAGCATTGGACAGGAAGATAGAGCAGGACAGAGTACACACACCTGAAAGAAACAAGAAGAAATACAGAGTTTGCAAAGCCAAGCTTATCCCAGAAATGCAGCAATATATTTCTCTAATTAGATGAGGGCTGGTAACCGTCAGAGATACAAAGTCCTCAAAAAGTGTTTCTAAAATATTTCATGCAATTTAAAAATGTATCTTCCAAATCACCCTGTCCTGACAAATGTCCACCTCATGGGGTACAAAAATTTATGTGAAAATGTTCAGAGTTGGTTATATGCCAGGGACATGATGGGCAAATGCCAAAGAATAAAAGTAGTATTCTAGACATCTCCTTTACATCACTCTTTTCAACTATATTTTATATGTTTTTGACTCATTTTATCAGTGGTATTTCCCCCACAAGCCTAAACATCCAGGTGGGTAAGGACAGTATGTGTTTTGAATCCCCAGCACCTAACAATATGCTTGGCACATAGTAAGTGCTCAATAAAATTTTTAAGTGAATAACTGACTAAGTAGAAAAATAAACGTGTGAACAACAAGAACTGGCTTCCCTATTAGCATTTTTTGTCTCCTCATTTCTGAAAGAGTTTGTTCTAGAAGCATTTGACATGTGTTCCTTAAACCAAAATGATAGTAACATTTGATTTATGTCTGCTGGTATACCTCAATAATTCCGTTATCACCAGACAACCATTTTTAAATATTACACTGGGCTAGGCTTATGAAATTTTAATTTTGGTATATAAATTCACAATCACTGGAATAGAAAGTGAATTTATTCCATAATTTGAATTTATTATTTAAAATAAAATACACAATACTTTATTGGTGAAAATGTGGTTAAATATAAATGAGAAATAAATTCAAGGGAATGGAAAAAAGAAAATCTCAGTGTCTGCTTTGTCTCTATCGATCAGCCTACTACTGAAGCAGCAACATTAGCATCGTGACCAGCACTTTTCCCATATAGTAAATGATGCAAGTGTTATTCAGTGTTACACAAGACCTCATTTATACTTTAATACAGATTAATGTTTTTCACAAATAATTCAGTAAAAATACTTCACAGTAATAAATGTTATTGAAACTCAATGATAAAGTTTTAAATTTTGTTTTTTAAAAATTATTATTTATGGTTACCAGGGGTGCAAGGGGAAGGAATGGTAAACCACTAACTAGAGGGTAGAAGCATATTAATTTGGGTGAAGGGGAAAGCAATAAAAAAGAAAAAAAAATCTTAAGCAAAGAAAGAAATGTTATACTGTGAAAGAACTGCACGTAAAAAAGTTTGGTAAGTAATAATTTAGACATTCTTCAAGTTTTGTTTCTTTTTTTTCCCCCCCTCATCTAGAAATTCTATTTCCGTAAGAAAAGCAAGATCCTATTTATTTCTACTAGTCATGTTAATTGCTAAATCTTGCTCAGGCCTGAGGTGTATTTCTGAGTTACTTTAATCCAGACTTTTCAAATATACTCACCCAAGAGAACATCAGATCTTTCTCTAGTGTAGACACCTCCTGGGACAAACTTAAAAGCTGTGCACCATGCACAGAAAAATATTTCTAGAAGATAAAATATCATGGCAATGGTCATGGTTTTCCCAGGGCTTGTCCCTGAGCTAACAAGGTGTCCAAGCACTTGAGGCCACAGGGACGCTGTGAAGATGGCAAGCACACAGCCAGAAATAGCGGCTGTCCACGTGGGCAGGTAAAGGAGACCTGCAGCTGAAGCCGCTCCTGTTTGTGAGAGAGAAACAAAAAACAATCAGACAGAAAAGCACTAATAGTCTTCTATTTTCTTATTTAAAAAAAAAAAAAAATGTGGTGGTAGGGAATAATTGGCTTATTAAGCCTAGGCGATACCACTATTGAAGGAGATTGCCCAACATCCCTTCCAAGCAGTGGCTGGTCAAAAGTAAAAAGATACAAAAGGTTGCCTCTGAGCCCTGTCACCAACTAGTTCCCCTGAGTGAAGGCAATCATCGTGTTTTCTTCTGCAGCCTTCTAGAGGTATTCTACGCACACAAAGAACTATATAAATGCATGCATTTCCCTCCCTTTTTGTACAACAATGGTAGCATACGATGCACAACACAAGTTGTCTTTTTCACTAACTGTACCTTAGCTATTTTTTGTTTGAGACTCAGTCCCCCAATTCCTTGCCCCAAAATCTTTATATCTAAAACATCAAGCAGAATGAATGGTAACGGAACATTGCAATAATAATAACCAGCATGTTAGTTTCCAATAGATTAATTATTCATACAGCAAAATTATATGCACACTGTATAGCATACTGGGGTCCTATTCATTACACTGAGAATGTCTATACCTCTTTCATAGAACTTTGACTTTACTAATTTAATTGCTATCAGGAGGTAAAGCTCCTGTATCTTTATTTTTATGAAATTCTTTTGGCCATTTCCAAAATTAATTTCATGCTGAGTCCCTGGGTAAAACTGCAAGCTTTAACTGTACAATGGGAAGATGATTCATTTTTCTCCATTCTGCTTTGTGACGTGGTTTCCAGAGATAAATCACAATGAAAAGTGGGCAGGTCCTCAAGATAAAGTGGGAGCTCCCACTTATTTCAGGAGAACAGGCCATAAGTAAAAGAGAGGAAGCTCATGAACTACCACCTTGCTTTCCTCTTCACTATAAATAGCCTACTAGCCCTAGGGTCTTTAAAACTAATAATACTCCAGGGAGACAGAAAAACTAGATTAGGTGTGACTCTCAAGGCCATAACCTTAGGGGAAATAAGTGTAAGCGTAAGACTATATGGTAGCATAGTGGCTAAGACACTTGCCTGCTAACCAGACGGCTGGCGGTTCAAACCCACCAGCCACTCCTTGGAAGGAAGGTTGGGCAATCATACTTCCGTAGTGATACTGCCTCGGAAACCCAAGGAGGGGTCGCTATGAGTCGGGTTTGACTCGACGGCACATAACAACAACATATGTTCACAGTGTTGCTGGTTTTTGACCAACCACCTATGTTTCTGTGTACCTCAGTTTCCCCATGTTTAAAATGGAGCTGGTAATTTATCTGTTCAGTAAGCATTTTCCCTATATTTTCATATATTCTATGAGAGAAAGCATGATGTGATATAAATGCTAAAGAAACTTTCAATGTGTTTTCCAAATTGCACACAGAGTAGAAGCTATATATGCTTATTGCAGTCTAGTGTTAACAAAGACATCAGTGGCGTAGTGTCTAGGGCATTTGACTGCTAACCAGAGGCTGGTGGTTCAAACCCACCAGCCACTCCTTGGAAGGAAGGTTGGACAATCTACTTCTGTAGTGATACCACCTCGGAAACCCAAGGAGGGGTCGCTATGAGTCAGATCCGACTCGATGGCAGTGGGGTTGGGGTTCATTGAGGAAACTCATGAGGCAGCTCTCTGAGAGAAGAAAAGTTACTCTTATAGACACATACTTCCACAGACCTCAAATGGAATGTCTCAGTCTATCAAAAAGTACACAACCAACCAAGAAACAAGTTGCTGTCAAGTCAGTTCTGACTTGTGGCAATCCTGTGAGTATCAGAGTAGAACTGTACACCATACGGTTTTCATTGACTGATTTTTCAGAAATAGATCACAGGCCATTCTTCTGGGGTGGCTGCCTCTGGGTGGACTCAAACCACCAATCTCTTGGTTAATAGCCAAGTGTGTTAACCATTTGTATCACCCAGGGACTCTAAAAAGAATATGCCAAAGGAAAAAAAAAAAAAAAACACTGCCATCAATTTGATTGTAACTCATAGTGACCCTAGAGGACAGAGTAGAACTGCCCCATAGGATTTCCAAGGCTGTAAATATTTACAGAAGCAGAATGCTTCATCTTTCTCCCATGGAGCAGCTGGTAGGTTTGATCCAGCAACCTTTTGGTTAGCAGCCAAATACTTTAACCACTTTGCCACCAGAGCTCCTTCTAAAAAGTGCATAAGTAAGTCAAAATCAGCTCAACATGACTACAGCAATATGCTCATACAGCTTCCAGGAGGATAGGGACCTAGTCAACCTCATTAAGTAGCAGTCTATTTTGACTATATATTCATTTCATGCAAGTACAACGGTGCTTATGGTATACAGAAATGTCCTTATTTTGTTACTCATTCCACATCTTCTATTACTTATGCATACAGTCTTAGAAACACACAGGAAGCATCTAGTGCAACACTCAGGATCTCCTGCTCAATGAATTTGTATAAGACCATCTATCCTCATCAAAACCAAATTATAATATTTAATGTCTAACAGGGTAAGGACTTCATTATTTAACACCAAAACTGACTATAATCATGACTGCCTTTTAAGGAGAAGAGGGGGATTGACATAACTCACTCATAGGAAAGTAAGTAGTTTTCTTTCTCATGCTCACAAAGACTGATGGGAAAGGAAAAAAAGGGAGTTTCTGAGTGGTGTAAACAGTTAATGTACTTTGGTGTTAACTGAAAGGTTGGAGATTCAAGTCCACCCAGGGGCACCTGGTGACCTGCTTCCAAAAAATGAGCCATTGAAAACCCTATGGAGCACAGTTGAACTGTGGCACACATAGGTTCACCATTGGTTAAGTTAACTTGACAGCAGCTGGTTTGAAATATCAGTCTCCACCAATATTTCTGCGATCCTAGAGAGTATGACTGGGAGGAACACTGACCCAAAGGCTGGGTAGAGAGTGGGGAATTAAATTGCTACACGTAAAAGGGAAACTTGAATTTCATTAGTCTCAAAGAGGGCATTCCTGGAAAACAGAGAAGCAGGGAACCTTGGAGAAGGGATAGAATCTAGCAACATGGTGATTTATAGCCCTTCTATGTCCTCAAATTTTCAGTAAAATTTGCTATACAAGATTACGGCTGTATAGTTGGGGGAGAGCAATAGGGTAGCCTTAGGAGGAGAGGGAGAGTAAAGGAGGACAAAGCAAGAACCTGGAGTCAGGGCCATCAGTGGTTATACCTGGGGTTAAGTTGTTGCAGCTGGTTGAACAGCCCACTTGGTAACAACACATATGTGTATGGCTACCTTAGTCTTCTACTTTCAGTCTAGTTGCACATGCTTGGAAGTTCATTGATTGGATAACCAAGCAGAATGATTAGCATATTTGCAGGTAAATTTCACATACCTGTAACCCACCAGATTAAACTGGAACCAGGAAACCATGAACAAACTGAAAGCATCAATCCACTCACCAAGCCAAGCAGAATTGCACCTCTGTCAAAAAAGACATGCTATAAGACATTTCGATTAATATCTCATCGTCCCAAAAATAAAGTATAAATATACCTCCTACCTCTAAGGGTTAATACAAGTGTGAAATAACCAGTAAGATAATGAGAGCCCATTGGGAGCTGACACTCAGGACTATCTAAGTAATAAAAACTCTGACTTGAGAAAAATCATACCTAAGTCTTTTATTGTCAATGTAAACAGTGTAATTGACTTTTCTCAGACTATTAAATTATAGTCCACATTGACCATTTAACATTTTAAATGACTGCCAACGAATAAAAACTAAAAAAAAAAAAAAAAAAAAAAAGTTTCTTTTTAATTCACCTTTCTTTTCTCCATCTCGGTACTGCTTTTGTCAAGTTTTTGCCTTCCTGGGACTGCTGTCAGTTTGGTAAATAATTGATAGTCGTGTGCTTTTTTATAAAACAACCCCAAACTTACTATTTTGCTATTTTGGCATGAACTTGAAGGAAAAGGAAAAAAAGAATTTAATTAAACTTTAGAGGAAAATCTCCAGCCACAATAATAGCTACAACATTGCATTTAGTTGTTGCTGTTGTTAAGTATGACTGAGTTGGTTCTAACTCATAGTGACTCTAAGTACAACAGAACCAAACACTGGCTGGTCAGGCACTATCCTCACAATCGTTGCTACATTTGAGTCCATGGCTGCAGCCACTGTATCACCCAACCTTGTTGAGTGTCTTCCCCTTTTTTGCTAACCATCTCCTTTTCCAAGCATGATATGTTTCTCCAGGGACTGGTCCCTTTTGACAACATGACCAAAGTATGAGAGATGAAGAGAGAGTTCCAGTAAGATGACAGAATAGGCAGACAAACTACGCAGACCCTCTTCGACAAATAAAAGGGGAATTAATTAACACAGATACAGAAGATAATCCTGGAGCCCTGAGCTTTGAAAGGAAGTGGACTAAACTCCAACTAGGAGAATAACCTGCATGAAAACTCTGAAAAAGGAGACATACAGAGCAGTGGTCTGTCAGCAATCCTGACAGCACAGACAGCTTGGATATTGCCAAGTGGTGTTAGGACCTAAGAATTAACCTAAAAATTAGCCCTGCTAGTCAGGAGCTAGGAGCTCTGGTAGCATAGTGCTTAAGGCACTTGACTGCTAACCAGAAGGTTGGCAGTTCAAACCCACCAGCCACTCCTTGGAAGGAAAGCTGGGCAATCTACTTCCACAGTGATACTCCCTCGAAAACCCAAGGAGGGGTCACTATGAATTGGGTCCAATTCGATGGCACATAACAACAACAACAATAACAACAGCCAGGAGCTGCACTGAGGACTGCACTGGTGTCTGTTGGATAAAAGCGGAAGCAGCAAAGAGGGAGATGGGCTGAGCTGTGGACTTTTGGGTGGCCAGAGGGTGTAGCCATTTTGAATGTGTACAAGTGGTTCGACCATTTTGGATATTTAAAGCCACAGCATTCTCTCAGATTCCAGTGACCTAAGAATAGGCTCCAATTGCTGGGGACAGCAAGGGCATACCAGACACTGAAGACTGGAAAGGTGCAATATTCTCCTTGTTACTCCTATACCCCATAGCCTCTTGATGAATGGAGGTGCAGCCATCCCTCACTCCCACCCACCTTCTGGGTTGGCAGGAATTCCATCACAGTTTGTGTGTTCAATGGAGCCTGGGTACCCTGCCTTGCCCTGCACAGATTTATTTTTCTTTATTTTAATTTGTTTGTGTCTGTTTTAAAATTGTAATTATTATTATTTGTCCTTTTCATTATTATTTTTTACTTTTTCTCTTCCCAGTTTCTAGTTTTCAACTTTTTCTCTCTTCCTTATTCCTGGTTCCCATTTTTTTTCTTTCTTGTAGTTCTCCCCATTCCTTGTTTTTCTTATTGCATTTTTCCCATTTTTTTCTTCATTATTCTCCTACTTTACCTCTTTTCTCATATTCCCTCCTTCTCAGATACTGTGGGTCCCCCTCCTTTTTCTATGCATATTTCTTTTGACTTTTTAAAGTATTTTTTAAAATATTTTCTCTCATTTATTGCCTTTCCTCTTTTTTTTTTTCCTTTTCTTTTTTCTCTTTTGGGTGATTAGTCCTGTGTGTTTATTAGGTGTGTTTTTTATCCACTTGATTTTACTTTTTTGATGGTTTTTTTATTGTTATTTTTGTCTAACTGTGTGGGAGACAACACCTGTGCCCATACAGTGCAAAGACACTCACACCTCCTGCAGCTCCACTTACTGAGTGAAAGCCACCACTTCCTTCTGCACCAACTGCTCAATGATACACGACCACCAATAAAAGCCTGACTCATCCTTAACTGCTCTTCACAGTTTACAGAGATCTGTGCAACCACTCTCATTCTCTAGCACACCCACCAGGAGACAGGTAGTGAGTGCATAAGTGCTGCCAACTAGTGAATAGAGAAGCACAGTACCCTGCTTACTCTGATACATACACATACACACACACACACACACACACAAAAAGGAAATGAAAATCTTGGGCAAATCACTCCAACATACAATCACCAGTTAAATATAAATACAACAAAGTCACAATGTCTTGGAGACAACAGAGCATCACAGTTCACACAAAGAAGCAAGATAAAGTGGTAGAAACAAGGCAGCAGGATACAGACCCAGAACACATCCCTGAGGAAGAAGCACTATTGGAACTCCCTGATAAGGAATTCAAAAGAATTATACTTAGGTACTTTCAAAGGATTGAAAGACATATCAAGGGAAACACTGACAAAACTAAAGAAAACAAAGATAAAACCCTACAACAATTTTGGAAGAAAATACAGGAGCAAAATGACAAAATAAATGAAAAATTAGAAATGATGCAAAATCTACAGATAGAAATCCAGAGGGTTAATACTAAATTTTCAGAAATAGGTAACACATTGAAAAGGCAAAGGAGTAGAATTGAATCAATGGAAGACATAATTCATGAGATTGCAGACAAATACTTAAACATGTTTTGGAAAAGGATCAATCAAAAAAAAAAGATCAAAACAAAATGAAGAAAGCCTAAGATTCATGTGGAATACCATCAAAAGGAATAATCTACATGTAATCAGATTTCTAGAACAGGAAGAGAAAAAGAAAGCCACTGAGAAAATTGTCCAAGATTTGTTGGAAGAGAACTTTCTTGATATGATGAAAGATGAGAAAATATCCACTCAGGAAGTCCAACGAACCCCAAACAGGATAGACCCCAAAAGAAAATCACCAAAACATATCATCAACAAACTCAACAAAACCAAAGACAAAGAAAGAATCCTGAAAGCAGCAAAGGAAAAACAAGAAGTTACTTACAAAGGGCAAGCAATAACACTAAGCTCTGATTTCTCAGCAGAAACCATGCAGGTAAGAAGGCAATGGGATGGTATATATAAAACCCTGAAAGAGAAAAATTTCCAACCAAGAACTATATACCCAGCAAAATTGTCCCTCCGATATGATGGTGAAATGAGGCGATTTCCAGATAAGCAGAAATTAAGGGAATTTATTAAAACCAGACCAACCTTCCAAGAGATACTAAAGGGAGTCCTTTGAACAGAGAACCAATAATAGCAAACAACAACCAACCATTAATACACAAGATGACACAGAAACCAACACAGCTATGGATGTATCCAAAGTAAAATAAGCTAACAAGATTGTAAACAGGGAACCAGAGACATCAATTGGCAAGTGAGGACAACTACAAACTAAAAAGAGGGAAAAAGTAGTGTAGTTACAGAACTTCTAAATGGTGAAGAAGTCAAGAAAGTTGCAAGATAGAATGGATTGTTCAAAACTCAAGGAGAAAATTATAAATCACAGGGTAACCTCAAAGAAAAATGATAAACCTTCACATCACAATAAAAAGAGAGGACAAGCATAAATATTCAGCAAATACTAAAAGAATAGCAACAAAGGAAATGTTAACATGATTTATAAACATAATGAGCTCAGCACAGAAAATTATATGGAACAAAGAAACTAGAAACACCACAAAAAACACATAACAAAATGACAGCAACAAATTCATACTTGTCGATAATTACACTATATGTCAATGGATTAAGTGCACCATTCAAGAGACGGAGAGTTGCAGACTGGATAAGAAAACATAACCCATCAATATGCTGTCTACAAGAGACACACCTCAGAGACAAAGACAAAAATAGACTAAAAATCAAAGATTGGAAAAAGATATATCAAACAAATAGCAACCAAAAAAGAGCAGGAGTGGTAACATCAATTTTGGATAAAATTGACTTTAAGACAAAAACCACCATAAGAGACAAGGAAGAATATTATATAATGATTAAAGGATCAGTTGAACGAGATGATATAACCATAACAAATATCTATGGACCCAATGAAAGAACCTCAAAATACATAAATTGGACTTTAACAGAATTGAAAAGACAAATAGATGACTCCACAGTCATAGTATGCATGCACACACAGCCGTGGAGTTGGATCCAATTCATAGTGATTCCTCCTTGGGTTTCCAAAGCAGTATCACTACAGAAGTAGATTTCCCAACCTTCCTTCCGAGGAGTGGCTGGTGGGTTTGAACCACCAGCCTTCTGGGTAGCAGTAAAATGCCTTATGCACCATGCCACCAAAGTCATAGTAGGAGACTTTAATACATCACTTTCAATGAAAGACAGAACAACTGGAAAGAAACTCAACAAAGATGCAGAAGAACTAAATAACACAATCCACCAACTTGACGTTATAGACATCTACAGAGTACTTCACCCAACAACAACAACACAATATACATTCTTTTCAGTGCACATGGAACATTCTCCATGATAGATCATATCATGAGCCAAAGTATGAGAGATGAATATTTGAGAGTACTTAAGTGTGCTCATGAGGAACTTGTACATAGACCACAAGGCTGTCGTTCAAACAGAACAAGGGAAAACTGAATGGTTTAAAATCAGGAAGGGTGTGTGTCAGGCTTGTACCGTTTCACCATACTTATTCAATCTATATGCTGAGCAAATAATCCAAGAAGCTGGACTATATGAAGAAGAACATGGCATCAGGATCGAAGGAAGACTCATTAACAACCTGTGAAATGCAGATGACACAATCTTCGTTGCTGAAACTGAAGATGACTTGAAGCACTTACTGATGAAGATTAAAGACAATAGTCTGCAGTATTGATTACATTTCAACATAAAGAAAATGAGTATGCTCACAAGTGGACCAATAAGCAGCATCACAATAAATGGAGAAAAGATTGAAGTTGTCAGGGATTTCATTTTACTTGGATATACAATCAACAGTCATGGAAGAGGCAGTCAAGAAATCAGATGTCACATTGCACTGGACAAATGTTACAAAAGACCTCTTTAAAGTGTTAAGAAGCAAAGATGTCACTTTGACAACTAAGGTGTGCCTAACCCAAGCCATGGTATTTTCAATCCCCTCATATGCATGTGAAAGCTGGACAGTGACTAAGGAAGAACAAAGAAGAGTTGATGAATTTGAATTGTGATGTTGGCGAAGAATACTGAAAATACCACGGACTGCCAGAAGAACTAACAGATCTGTCCTGGAAAAAGTACAGCCAGAATGCTCCTTGAAAGTGAGACTGGCCAGACTTTGTCTCACCTACTTTGGTCATGTTGTCAAGAAGGGACATGCATCCTGGAGAAGGAAAACATGCATAACAAGGATAACATGTCTGATAAAGTAGATGGTCAGTAAAAAAGGGGAAGACCCTCAGCAAGATGGACTGACACAGCCTCTTGCTTGGCGGGCACAAAACCTAGTCCTCCCTCAACTGTGGAGGGTCCACCTTACAGGAACCCTTCAACAGAGAGGCAAATACTGTTTTGGTTCCTTCTTCTCAGAGTACACAATAAATTCATATAATGTTTCTGGTATCTGTTGCTGTTATCTGCAGTTGGACTGACACACTACTTATAGCAAGGATTATGAGGATGGCACACAACTGGGCAGTGTTTTGTTCTGTTGTAAATAGGGCTGCTAAGAGTTGGAGTTGACTCGATGGCACCTAACAACAATGACAATTTGGAAAGGTAAGTAGAGAGGTCACTTCCTATCTCATATATGACCTGGTATGCGATAAAAGGAACACACACAGAGAGAGAACAGCACAAAAACTACTGAATGTTCTTAAGCAATCAGATTGACATTTTAGAAAGGCCACTCTGGGTAATGTGAAGACAAGATGGGCAAGGAGGCCACACTGAAGAGTGAGTGAGACCATTAGGAGACAATTGCAAAAGCGAGGATGAAAGGTAAAAAATGGTGAAAACTCCACTAAGGAAGATGAGGTTGAAAACAGAGGAAGGGATGGATTTGAGAAAAGTAGTGGAATTAGCTGACTTCATGTCAAATTAGTTGGGAGAAAAGAGGTGGGCAGATGCTAGGATGACTCTTGCTTCTGGCTTGGGTGATGGGGTGGATAGATACAGAAGATGAGGGCATAGAGGAGGAAGAATTAAGGTACTAAACCAAACCAAAGAAACTCACTGCCCTTGAGTAGGTCTGAATCATTGCGACCCTTCCTTGGGTTTTTGAGGCAGTATCTCTACGGAAGTAGATTGCCCAGTCTTCCTTCCAAGGAGTGGCTGGTGGGTTTGAACCTCCAGCATTCTTATTAGCAGTCAAATGCCTTAGGCACTACACCACCAGACTGAGGCATGCTGAGTTTGAGAAGCCTATGCCCAGAATGCCTACTGGAGTAAAAGATCCAGCATTACAAGAGAATAGATCTATAAGGTAGAAATCTGGACCTAGTCACAGGAGAAAAGAGGTGTTAGGAAGAGTAGAGAGAAGATCAATGGTGAACAAACACATAGACCAACACTTAGACTTAATGTTAACTCTTTAAGGTTGGAGCAATGACCAAGGTACCACTGCTCTCAGAACCCTCCATGGCTTCCCCTCCTTTGCAAAAAGTAGAAATAGTTTTCTGTGCCCCAAGCAGCCAACCTGGTCCCTCTCATCAGAGCACTCTAGACATATCCTACTGAAAGACCATAAGTGTAAGGGAGAAGGGCATAGAAAATGGTCAGGGAATGTCACACACTTTCCCTGCCACTGAGAATACTCTCCTATGAGGGGATTCCTCAGAGAGCCTATGCAGGAGCTCCTAAACCCTCTTACTTGGTGGGGTACAAACCCTAGTCCTCCCTCAACTGAGGAGGGTCCACTTTACAGGTATCCTTCAACAGAGAGGCAAATCCCAGTTTGGTTCCTTCTTTCTCAGAGTACACAATAAATTCTTACAATGTTTCTTGTATCTGTTGTTGTTAGCTGTGGTTGGATTGGCTCTGACTCATGGTAACCCCATGCACACGGAATGGAATGCTGTCTAGTACTGCACTATCTTCTCAATCACTGGTACGTTCGAGTCCACTTGCTGCCATTGTATATTCTGAATGCCTTATAACCTAGGAATGCCTTATAACCTTATAACCTGGTGGCACAGTGGTGGAGCTAACTGAAAGATCTGCAGTCTGAAACCACCAGCTACTTTTTGGGAGAAAGATGTGATAGTATGCTTCTGTAAAGATTTATAGCCCTGGAAACCGTTTAGGCAGTTCTACTCTGTTCTGTGTGTTTGCTGTGAGGCAGAATTGACACAATGGCAGTGGATTTGGTTTTGGGGTTCTAACTTAGGGGCTTTATCTTCTAGAATTATATCAGACAATATTCTTCCATGATCCACAAGGTTTTTACTGATTAGATTTTGGCAGGAAATTGCCAGGCCTTTCTTCCTAATCTGTCTTAATCTGAACTCCATGGAAATGTGTCCACCATGGGTGGCCCTGCTGGTATTTGAATGACCAGTGGCATATCCAGAGGGAGTGCAATGTGAAATATCTGGCTACCACAGACCAAGCTACTCAACAAAGGAAGTATGTCTTCCTCCAACCATAACTGCCATTGTCTTGATTGCTTTCAACACCAAACTCACCCGAATGGGTTAGGATCTGGCCCTGGATTTGGATGTCCACTCACTGCCCATCTGGAAACAAGAGAGACTTCTCCAAATATCCAGTGAGTGAGGAACATAAGGCTACCAAAGGCAGCTCCTGTCAACAGCCAGTTAGGTCTAGAGGCCATCCCTTTGGCTGCCCCGCCATTCTTTCCTTCGGGTTTACTGCAGTCACCGTCTAGAATTAAAAAATGGAAAAGGTTTCGTTCCATGGAACTTACTCTCTGTATTTAACAAACTTTTACCAAGTGAGAAATGGTACCTGGCTTCAGGGAGCTTATTTTGGAAGAGGAGATGAGACATGCAAGTAGAATCTGAGGTAAATATGCTGAGCTACTGAGTGGGAAAGACTGTTTCAGACAAGCTAGATCAGGAACAGTTTAGGGAGAACAAGTAGAAACACTGAAAGATATTAATTTCATTAACAGTATGAGCAAAAATATATTCAGGAAAAGTAAATGGCATGCCAGGGAACAAATGTGGTCCAATTTGAGTGGAACATTTCCAGTACATCAGGAAATAACAGGGCTCTCCTCTGTACCCAGAGTAAAACAGAGTATTAAGCAGTTACTATGTGTCAAGCTCTTTCCTGAGGTTTTTATATTAGCTCCTTTCATCTTCACAACAATTATTTGAGATAGGCTCTATTACTAATCCCATTTTACAGGTGAGAAAGCTGAGGCTAAGAGAGATTAAATAATTTGTCCAAGATCACACAGCCAATTTCTCTTTAGAAACTGGGATTCAAGTTTAGGCAATCTGGCTCCAGTGCCTGTGCACTTAACTATATATCATACCTCACAATTCTGTTTAGCCAGAGTCTTAACTCATAGTATCAATGACTAAGCATACAAAAGTGTAACAATGTGGAGAAGATATCATCAACTTAGTAGCCAGCAGGAGAATTCCTTTTTGGGAGCAGGGAGCCTGCTGGGCAGATACTTTGTGACACTGTGAAGCTCTGTGTAGAATAGAAGGGAGCTTCAAGGTCTGCCTGTTGGGCTGGCATCCCATTTCACAAGGAAGAAGAAAGCTATTCTGCCAATAAAGGAGCCAGAGGAAGGAAGAGCAGAGCAGAAAGCTGTGGACATGAGGGTAGGAGAGAGGTAGAGAGAAGGGAGGACAGGGGCTGGGGGCTAAACAGGAAGTATTTAGAGAGACCAAATCAAACCCACTGCCCTTGAGTCAATTCTGACTCATAGTGACCCCCATAGGGTTTCCAAGGCTATAAAATTTTACAGAAGCACACTACACCATCTTTCTCCTGTTGAGCACCTGGTGGGTTCAAACTACTGACCATTTTAGTTAGCAGCCCAATGCCTTAACCACAGTGTTACCAAACCTCCTTTATTTGGAGAGAAAGAGAGTTATCTAAACTGACTTGGCTGAATAATAACACTCGTGGTTGCTAACCAAATGGCCGAAGGTTTGAATCTACCCAGAGAGGCCTCAAAAGAAAGGCCTGGCAATCCACCTCTTAATCAGTAGAACTATGGAGCACAGTTCTCCTCTGACCCACAGGAGGTCACCATGACTTGGAGTTACCTTAATGGCAAATTTTGTCTTTTAATATATAAAATTGTTAATATTTGTTTGGATGTCTTGTTTATAGGTGAGGGAAAAAAAAAACACAAGAATGGCTATTTCTAAATTTTTGCAAAATGGTGGGTAGATATGCCTATATTTAAATATGCTAAATAGCATATAAAGTACCACTACTGCTTTTTCAGATTGTTTGGATTGTATATAGAAAGTAATGTATGAAAATTTAAACTCTTAAGAATATGGACTTTGTGAATATCGTGTGTGTATGTGTCTGTGTGTGTGTCTGTGCGTGTATATGGAGCAATACTGGTGGCACAGACGGTACGTGTTCAGTTGCTGACCAAAATGTTGGCAGTTTGAACCCACCAGCTGCTCCGTGGGACAAAGATGCTTCTGTAAAGATTACAGCATTGAGAACCCTATGGGGCAGTTCTACTCTGCCTTAAAGGGTCACTGTGAGTAGGAATTGACTCAGTGGCAATGGGTATACATATAAGTATATGCATATACATATAGATAGACAGATATACATATGGTGGGTAACCCCTGCTCTAGGACCCCACAAGTCTTCAGTAAAAGTACAAAATACATCTGAAATAGTCAGATGTCCTGGGGAAGCTGGTGAGGAGTCGAGTTTTGTACGTGGAGGTGTAGGGCGGAAACCCAGGAAGAGATTGACTGCCGGTAACTGGGTCACATAAATTTAAACAGAAGTGAGAAAGAAGAAAACTCAAGTTGGGAAATGTAAACAATACCCTGAAGTTCAGATTCTTATCCGGCTGTACCTGTGAAATTTGCTGTCTGAGTTTCCACCTCTATATGCAAGTGTTTCATAAAATGTAAAACACATATTAAGGCATTCAATCGAGTTCTAAATGTTCTAACAGTATTAATGTAATATGATCGATTCACTCGCATGATCTCCTCCTATTCTCACTACCTGTCTCATGCACTTTGTTCATGGTGAGCCAACACCCTTTAGACTTCCATTAATCTGTGAGATTTCTCCTCACATTTACAAAAGAACAGTGGCTCACTGAGAGTTACACAAAAAGCCAGGAGCAAGTTCATCAGAATCCAGTAACACTTCTCCCTTCTTTTTAGAAAGGTCTCAAGTTAGCCTACAAAAAGCAAAATTCAAAAGTTGGGTATGTGTAGGTCTCAGAGAGGGTCAATGCCAGTGATTTGAAAGATGGTGTGAGTGTGCAAGATTTCTTTTCAAGTTTCAGATTTGGAACTTAAATATCTTGGAACTTCTGGGAGGCAGGTAGTTCCACAGCCCTAGCTCACAGATAATTTTCCACAGTGTTGGAGATACACTGGGTAGGGCATGTAGGTGGGGGATGGAGAATGTCATCCTGGAAAGCTCTGTCCGGAGGTAAAGGGGAGAAACACAGAGCTGAAATTAACTGGAATCGTAAGGCCTGCTGGTTCTTCTCCCCCACTGCCAGTGGTACAAACCAAAGGCTATTCTTCCATTTTCACCCTCTGTCTGTACATGAAGGCCTCTGGTGCCAACTGAAAGACTGGTGGTTCAGATCCACCCAGTAAAGCTGGGAAAGAAAGGCCTGGCAGTCTACTTCCCTAAGATTCCAGCCATTGAAAACCCTATGAAGTGTTGTCCTACTCTGACATACATGGGGCCACCATGAATCAGGATCAACTTGACAGCAATGGGTTTGGTTTTATTGATCGTTGTCTGTACTAACAAGGAAAAAGGTTCCCACAACTTAGCCAGTAGCCCACTAGGTATACCAGTTACCATTTCAGAGAGAAAAAAGGGTGACATGGAGATATAGTGCCTTAAAAACAATTTACATGGATTTTCTTTCAAAATGTGTTACATTCAGAGAGGAAAGTAAACTATGCAAGAGAGAAAATTGCTAAATATACTGGGCATACACTTACCTGTGCAAATACGATCAAGTGTGGCTATGGTGCTTAACGTCAGGATTACTCTGTTGGGCATCTGATAACTCCAGATTGGGTTTAGAGAAGTGTACCATATGCGGAGAACAAGAAGAAGAATCTGTCCTAAAATGAATCCCCAGATTCTGAGGTACCTGTAAATGCAAAAGTGTTTTTAAAGACTTTTCATGTACAGTCACAGTACTATGTCCTCATTAATATCAGTTTCACACAATGAGTTTCTGAAATAGTGTTCTTGCTAATGTGAAGTAACGTACACAACTTAGCCCTTACGTAGCCCACTGCATAGGCAACTTGGTATGATTCTCTGATTCTCAAAACTTTCTTGAGGTTGATGGCAATTATTCACAACCTGATTTTATGAAAAGGGGTGGGGAGAAACAAGAGACTTCTGGAAGGTCATAAATCCGTTAAGCCCAACCCGTTCCCATCGGGTCGATTCCAACTCAGAGCGACCCTATACAACCGAGTTGAACTGCCTCATAGGGCTTCGAAGGCTGTAATCTTTACAGAAGCAGACTACCACATCTTTCTTCCACAGAGTTGCTGGTGGGTTCAAATTGCTGACTTTTTGTTTTGCAGCCACTGTGCCACCAGGGCTCTTTGGCAAGGTCATATGGAAGATATACAACAGAACTAAGAACTATTGTAACGTGGACCTTCTGAACTCCATGTTTCCCTTTGGTAACTGACCAGACCTGTTTGCCCCAAAGAGCATAATATAAAAAACATACCTTTGGAGACCACTTCCTGACCACCAAGTTACAGCTTGCACCATCAGTGAGGAAGATACACCAAGGGCAAGGATCATGAGCCGAAGTCTTGCATTTGGAGCCTGGAAGGAGGTTATGCTACCTACAAACAGATGTAAGAAGCTAACCATTTCTGACAACCATGCATTGGTACTCAACGAACTGCACCTAGAAATGTGATGGACACCACCTTTGTACTCAGGGAGGTAGAATATAGATAGCTGGGTAACACACAGGTAGGTTTGTGTATGCCCTCAAGTCAGTTCTGACCCACAGCAACCCACTGTGATAGCATAAAACTGTCCCATAGGGTTTCCTGGGCTATAAGCTTTACAGGGGGAACTCTGGTGGCATAGTGCCTAAGGCATTTGACTGCTACCCACCAGCCACTCCTCGGAAGGAAGGTTGGACAATCTACTTCTGTAGAGATACCACCTCGGAAACCCAAGGAGGGGTCGCTGAGTCGAATTGACTTAAGGCAGTGAGTTTGGTTTTTATTTTTAATCTTTAGGGGAGCAGATAGCCAGGACTTTTCTCCCATAGAGCCAATGGTGGGTTCAAACTGCTGACCTTTTGGTTAGCAGCCTAGCACTTAAATCACTATCCCACCAGGGCTCCTATCTATCTATATCTTTAAAAAAAAAAAAAAAATTGAGATATAATTCACATACCATAAAATTTGTCACGTTAAACTTTTAATGGGTTTAGTATACTCAAAAACTGTGTTATGCTTACCACTATTTAATTCTAAGACATTTTCATCATCCCCAAAAGAAGCCCCATACCCATTAGCAGTTATTTCTCATTGCCCCCTCCTCCTAGTCCCTGGTAATCACAAATTTACTCTTTATTTCTATAGATTTACCTATTCTGGACATTACATGTAAATGGAACCATATAATATGTGGTGTTTTGTGTTTGGCTTCTTTTACTTAGTGTGATAGTTGAAGATGTGTCAACTTGGCTGGACTCCAGTTGTGAGTGGTGGTTCCCATGATGGGATCAGATGACTGAGTTCTGAGCGGCCAGTCTGCCCAAGGGGAGTTTCCCCAGGGGTGTGGCCTACCTGCAATGCTATTCCAAGGACAAGCTGGAAGAACGGCATTCCGGACT